TCAACACACATTTAACCCAATTACTCATCCCTATTATCTTCTTTAGTTCTTAAGGATCTACCCTAAGAATCATCTATCATCCACTCATTCATTCCTAAGGATAGTCCTAAGGAATAGGCACGAAGTCCATCGCTGCCAGGGTATATCTAACAAACACTAAGTCTATAGCTGCCAAGGTTCATATATAGGGTACTAATTCCATAGCTACCAATGTTCATCTATAGGGTACTAAATCCACAGCTACCAACGTTCATTTATAGGGCACTAAGTCCATAGCTGCCAAATGTTCGTGTATGAGGCACTAAGTCCACAGCTGCCAGGGTTTTTAGAGTACATCTGGTGAAGACATCGTTCACAACACCTACAGGTTGCGAGCCTGCTAGTATTCCACCGGACTATCTAGAATAAACCGTGGTTGTCATCTATACTCTGCTAGATGACTGCGCCAACGCTTTGGTCAAGGCTTCTCATCGTCTCTCACTTCTCATTATCATTCTTCATCTCTCCTCATCTATAACATCTTTCATCTCAATTATCATCTACCCATCTTTACCCATTATAATTATAGGTATAAAATACGTATACAGTTTAAATAGAATAAAACATGTATATTTTGTTCATTCATCTATCAAGAACATAGATAATATGCACACATAACACGTAATTTATATTAAATACTTCATACCTATGTGTAAGATGAAAGTAACTATGCACTCACTTGTTAAAGTGATGATTCCAAACTCGGGTAGCGCTCCGCTTCTAACAATTCTATTCTCCTTTAGCGAATCCTAGTATCATTACTGCTAGATTTTAGTCTAATATTTATAGTGACTATTTACGAGCGATATTGTATTATGGGTGTTAAACAATACTTTTCAACCACTATGTACAGACAAGGGCCAGACATGAAACACTGGAGGGCAGGACCATTTTAGCATTATAGCACTTCTGAAATCCAACAACCCTATACGGCCCTTCAAACTAGATTCTCCGTACCGCGAGTAGTTAAAAGATATTATAATAACACTTTGTATATTATATTTTATAATATATTTATTGTTTATAAGTTCATAATAACGATATTGAACTTAAACATAAGCTATACTTGAAGTAGGGTAAGCATAACTCACTTACCGGGAGGTTTGGCTAGGAACCGGGCTCTGCGGGGCAGAACTTCCAAGCCGAAAGCTCTTCTTTTCGGAGCCTTCTAGCACTCCGGGGCTTTCCTCTAGCAATTAGGAGTTACTAAGGCTTTGAGAGAGGTTTAGAGAGAAGTTAGAGAGAGAGAGAAGGGTTATGATATGAGAAAAAAGGGGTGCTCTCGCATGGTATTTATAGGCTGAAATATGGCTCAACTCGTTGAGTTGGTGCCACATGTCACCATCTGGTGGCAAGACGTGGGGAGAAAGCAATGATCCAGATTTAAGCCACGTCACCCCTTTCGCAGCAGCACCCTTCTGACTTCTAAATTTTGTAACTTTCGCATACGAGCTCCATTTTGACTTTTTTTTTATATCCACGCATAGGTATTGACAAGATATACAACTCACCTTTTAACTACATCGACTAGTTCTTGACCGATTTTAAATTTAATAGTATGAGAAGATTACACTGATAACGACCGTGTAAAATTCATAACTTCTGCATATGGACTCCGTTTTCGATTGTCTTTTTATCGTTGAACTCCTATTAATGAGATATTCAATTCTCATTTAGGTTGTTTCGGCTAAAAGTTGCTCGATATAAAATTCGATTTTCGGGCTGTATACTGTTATGCGAAATCTTAGAAAAATCATAACTTCCTCATACGAAGTCAGATTTTGGCGTTCTTTTTATGCACGCTCTCGGTTTAATGTATACGAAAACTTTCATTTAGATCTCTAAGGCTAAAAAGTAATTTATCAAAAATTCACTTTTTACGATTCCCGGTGTCGTGTCGGTTTTGCCGTAAAACTTCGATGAGTCATAACTTCTTCATTATAACTCGGATTTCGGCGTTCTTTATATGTACGGAACCCTTGTGACATATACTATAACTTGGTTAAGATTATTTAATATAAATAATCTTCTATCAAAAAGTCATTTTTGACGCTTATTGTCTCTAAATTGACTAGCCCGAATCTGCGTGCGTTACAGTCTCAGACACTCCGGTCTTTTTTTTGGTCTTGGGTAAACCAATATTGGTTGAGACTAGTTCGGAATCAGAACAGTCTTGACTGTCTTTTTTTGTGACATCCACATTTTCACGGCCATTTAAAAACTTTTTTATTTATGTTTATTAAAGACAGAGTTTATTTATAAATGCGGAATTTGTCTCATAAAGAGTATTTCTGAATAAATGTTTTCCATGGATCCATTAAAACTTGGGATGTCATAACTGATACAAAACCTAAGCATAAACAAGTCTTACAGTGTCTTAGACTAACAGCCTACATCTCCTTGAATATCTCACCATATCTTTGTACCGCTACATGTGATACAAAGAAACTGACTAGTTGAGGTTGGAAAACCTGGTGAGTACATAGAGTTTTCAATCCCATAATAATATAACTAGATGGGGAACCCCGCTTTGCGGGGTATAGATTTGTTAACAGTATAGAAAATTAGGGATTATTGATCAATTGTTTTGGTGACATTACGTTAAAGATGGTGTGATCGTTTACCAGTTGTTCTTGAAGGAGTTTCTTAAGGATTTTGTACTTGTTCTTTTGAAATAGATAATGATAATTGTTCTTGAAGGAGTTTCTTAAGGATTTTGTACTTGTTCTTTTGAAATAGATAATGATATCTTTTTATAGATTTGACAATATAACAAACATTAAAAAGTCGCATAATAGCAATGTACAGTAAAGTATGTTACTATTGTCTACAATTCACACATTTACAAATACATAATAGTCAAATATGTTGTAATATGCTATAAAATAACAAACCATTGTGTCGCAAAGTAAATAGCAAGTGTAGCAGCAACAACCTGTTAAAAAAAGTAAAGTATACATAAAAAAAAAAACTAAATTTTTTCGTGCATGCTTCCGTAAAAAAAATAAGAAAAGAGTAAATCTTGAGTTCAAAATTACCTCTCGAATATTGAGTAAAGCAAAGGCTATATGGGACAAAGTATCAGTTTCCATGAGAGTGTTTTACCACTGTAGAACCCAACACACCACCCATTCAAGGATCCTAACAACAATAATACAACTATTATATTCTATACATATATAATGAAGATATATTTAATTGTTATAACCTCATTACAAGACAATCATGAGTTGATGGAATTCAATGCAACAAAAAGCAACTAAAAACTGTTTCTCCCTAGTTGTGGTTACTACAGATTTCCATAAAATCCCAGCAAAAAAATATAAAGGAAACCAAATAATAACATGAAAATAAAAACAAAATCAATTTGTGCCACCTGCTACATGAAATATGCACGAGTTGAGAAGCTCAAAGCTGTAACCGATTCACTTAATTCGTGTAAGAATTCCTCATGTACATTGATCTAAAAACAACGCCTACAATTAGTAAAACACGATTTCGATGGTCAATTTAATCAAATACAAACATTTACAAGATACTTTTGTCAAATATTAACATTTACATGACGTTTTGTTCAAATATAAACATTTACATGACAATTTGATAAAAAAAAGAAAAAAGACATTTACATGACAATTTAAAAAAAAACATTTAAATGAAAAAAAAATTATGAAATAAAAACCAAGTCGAACTTGGCTGATGCTTCTATTAACCAATTTAATAAATTTTTTTTACATAAACCACCTCTCAACCATTTATCAATATGCAATTTCTATATTATAAATGACAAAAAATAAATAACCGGAATTCAACTATAGTATAACACCACAAATGATTTCGTTTGGACCCGATCCAAAACAATTTCACCTTGTTCCATTTAAAAAGGACCATTATGCTCCTTAGTTCATTTTTGAAAATTTTTATATCATTAACAAATTAGTTTAACCCATGATCCATCATCCCTATGCCTACCCCCAATTTAATAATTAAATAAACAGCGACCAAAAACGCTAAAAAAACTCGAATAAGGACCGGGAAAAAATAAATTTTCAACCTTTATACAAAAAACACCGAAAAAACAATAATTTAATCGGAAAAAAAATATAATTAATGTATGTAAGGACAGTTTCATCGCCTCTGGAAATTCTCTGCTTCCTAACTTTCTGAACCTACCCATGTTATCCAGTCCAGTTAAAAAAAATCAAAAACACAGTTGATATTATCCATAAAAACACATGTTACCATAGAAACAAAATAATTTCAGCAAAAAGTTATAAACTGCATCTAAACATGGCGGAACATAGCTGGTGATGATCTCTACGGTTTTCAATGTGATTAACATCTCTTTGATAAATTGTCCCCTAAATAAATAAATAAAAACATAAATTTAAGATTTCTAAAATCTGAAACAAATTAAACCGAACGCTAGAATGGATTGTTGGTGATGTCTATGTTACTAATGAAGCAGATGTTGCTGTTACTTGTGATAATAATCTTTGTTTCCATCTCAATCAATTTCCTTTTGCAAGAGAATTTTTCGGGACCAAATTTGAAAAAACTAAGGTAAACTCAGGGACTATTTTGTAATTTAATATACCTATAATTATAAAATGTGACTCGGGTAAGTCAACATGGTGAAATTTACACATGGTGAAATGCAATGGCGTTTTCAGCGAAAACTATGTCTCTTCTAGCTTTTGATTTTCTGTGACATTTGAATGCATATTTTTTTACTAGGCAGCTGACAAAAGGTCAAAAAACTCCATTGCAAGTCAACCTTCGAAAGAGTTAAAAGGACAACCTACAAAAAGACCAAAATACCCTTATCATAGAAAATGTAAAATATAACTATAACTGGAAATTTTATTAAGTTCAATGTTTTTATAAAATTTTAATAAGGCTGCCTTTGATGTAACAACTCATATCCCTACAAAAACAAAAAGGGTCATAAAATTTAATTCTTATATTAATCCACAGATTTGGATACTCCAAAAAGAAAACGACACATATGAAGGAGAGTCTTCCATAACTGTTCCATTTAACTGATATGAAACTGGAATGGAATCCATGATTGTAGAGATTGAAATGCTCTTTTGTGATTCCATTCCATTGCCATAACCATTAGTAACATGATAAGAAAACCTCGAATTACCCAAATACCCTTCAAGTCCACCGACTGCAACCCCATTCACATTCTGAGCACCCACCACCATATTAATAGTTTCCAACTTTTTTAATACTTCCATTTTAGTTAATTTTCATTTTTATTCTTTAACTTTAATTAGTGGTAAATATAATATACCGATATTTGAACTATCAGCCTGTAAAATAGAAATATATATTAGATATAAAATAGACCCATAAACATTTACACAAAAAAATCCAGTAGTGATTCAAATATGTATGGTAGAAATAATTATCTCAACATTGTATCTAATAAACAGAACATGCAATTACAGAGGTTCTACACAAACCATTTATTTGACTTTTTGCACAAAAACATACAGTCAAAGTACATGAATGTGACCAAAAATCCACAAGGATCTGACATTTGAGAATTTCAAGAAGAATCTAAAGAAAAATGTTCTTTATGTTGTGTAAAATGGTTTCACATGGTATTTGTAACTTTAGAAGAAACGCAATCAATTGACATATTACCAAAACCCCAGAAGAGATAACTTCAAATATGAATTTAATATTGTTTAATCATAATCTGTATACTCAAGAACTAAACATTAATCAAAGAATGTATGATGAACCATAACCCACCTCTTGATAACTCTATAAAGATGCAAATTCTTCCATTTCCCTCTCTCTTTCTTCCGTGGTGATTGTGTCAAAAGAAAGTAAAATATTGTGGGGGAAATTAGGGTAAAACATCAAAAGCAAATGATCAAAAATTAAAAATTAAATGAAAATAGAGACAGTGTTGGACAAAGATAAGGAGAAATCGAAAAACTTACAATCAATTGAAGGTGAACAACTTCGAAAAAGCAAACATCCTCAACACTATATTGTTCTTGGACTGGTGGGGTGTTAGACCCGTGGTGGGTGAAGAAGAAGACAACAGACAACGCTGCCGATGACTTAGAAGTGCAACACAGAAGAGACAGGGTAACCATCCAGATTTGGTGTGAGCGGGAGCTAAGATTCATTAGCAGATGGGTAGAAATTTGGTCAAATATTTTGGGGAGGTTGAAATCTAAAACGTAGCCAATATTTTGGGAAATTTCCATTGGAGATTAAAGCAGAAAAAAATCGCAAAAACATAAACGAACCTCCACAAAGCATACGGTGGTCAGGCCGTTGCAATCCATGGCAGATTAGCTGAAAGCAAGTTGTCAAGAATCGGAGTGGCCACCAGCTCTGACCAAGGTTGTTTTTTTTCCTGTCTGCTTATCGGTGCATGAGGGAATGGGAGAGGATTTCCCTCACTTGTCTGCATCGCCATCATCGATGGTTAATAACAACCCTGACCCTCGTCCAAAGGAGATCAACGCCAACTGTATGGTAATGGGGGTTGTAAGTTTGAAACATGACGAATCAAGGAACGTTCGGCTGTGGAGAGAGAAGATTGTAGAAGAATGGAGGAGAGTCGATTTGAAGTGAGCGGTTGAATCTGGAAGAGATTAAGACGATCGGGATGAAGGGGTAACAGGAAGGCGGTGGGTATCGGGAAGTAAAGATCTTGATGTGAGAGAAAAATGGAAGGGAAGTAATGAAGTTTTAGCTATCTTTGGAAGAACAATCTGTTGTTTTCTTGTCATTCAAAATACTCCTTATATATGAAAGGAGGTACATCTTTCAAACTTGTGATACAAACATAGGACTGGATAATAACAAGTTCTGACATCTGATTATCTAACTTACACAAAAGGCTAAGTCCTATGAAATGTTACATCACATAAAAGACAAGTATAATAAATGTTCAAACACATGACTGATCTCGGATGTTCATTCTACTTCGGACTATACTTCATCTCGTAGAAAAAGCTTATCTCGGACCACTTCACATCTCAGACTCAGAACTGACTTGGGATCTTCATAACTTGTGATTTCTAGAGGTTCACTTTCAGGTTCCAACAATATCCCCTAAGTGAACTTAGCAATCTGGTCAGCTCAGTTCGCTTCTGAAACATCCTAAAAATACAGACCAAAAATTTCGCTTTTAAAAATATTAAATAAACCATAGTTATCCAAAACACATGTCATAATATATCAAACATCATGTCAATGTATATCAAAATACCAGAATATAAACATCCTAGGCTGAAACATATGGTGTGTGCGCTGCAATCATCCCGAGCCCTTCCCCTTACTACCGGAAGTACCTGAAACCAAAACTGAAACTGTAAGCACGAAGCTTAGTGAGCTCCCCCAAACTACCACATATCATAAACATATAACATACTACTAAGAGATACGGGCCCCGCCCACAATCCGCTAACTGAGAGATACGGGCCCCGCCCACACTCTGCTGACTCTGAGATACGGGCCCCGCCCACACTCAGCTACTACGAGATACGGGCCCCGCCCATACTCGGCTACTATGAGATACGAGCCCCGCCCACACTCAGCTACTACACATATATACAAGTATCACACAGACAACAAGTATAACTAATTCTATCAATCAGGCATATATCCATAATCAAACTAAGTTGTGAGATACGGGCCCCACCCACACTCGGCTAACTGTAAGATATGTGCCTCGCCCACACTCAGCTACTAACATAATCATACTACGGGCCGGCCTTGGTGTCACACCCCAAAACCAAGAACGGCGGAAACGTTCTGGGGTGGAGGACGTCATGTACAGTATCACAACAATGCATAATAGTAAAGACAAGCAACAACATCCATTGCATTAATATAATAATTATAACACAAGCGTGTTCTGTACAGTTTGTAAGACACCAAAAGTATAATCAAAATAAAAGATGAGTCTTGTATGTGCTCCATCTTCTCAAAAGCTTCATCTGTACCTGTCTACTGATGACCTGAGAATACAAGTTAATTTGAAAGAGTTTATCAGCAAAAAGCTGGTGAGTTCATAAGTATTTAGTGTCATTGCTTGTATAAAAATGTTTACAATAATGTAGTGTAATAACTGATTTCAATGTTTGTAAATAGTATACTCCCTAGAAAATCCTATATTTTCCAGTAAAAAGTAGTCTTCTACCAAGACCCGATTGTTTGTATATTTGTTCTTTCATAAATGTAAGGGTTTCCCCAGTGAAACTATCAGTATGAAAATATAGTTTTTGACTTCGCTCATATAAGGTGATTTCAAAATAAATGTAATAGGGAAAATAAATGTTTTACCCTTAGCAGTGACACTGTTAGGTATAAAGTGATAAAATACGGACTCCAGGTAGTACTAAATGTACAGTACACCTAGGGGAGCCTAAAGTAATGGAAATGTAAACTCCAGGTGGTATTAAATGAACAATACGCCTCGGAGAGTCTAATTTGCCTTTAATTCTTAAATGGGTTAATTAAAGGTATGAATGTGAACTCGTATGTAACCATGCTGATCGACGGCTGAATAACTGATGACCCTCCAGGTCATATATAGTGAGGTAACATTCTGTCACCCCTTGGCCTTTCGGCTGGGACTGTAGCTAGCAGTCGGGATGTGGGAGTGTCTGTCCCGTATAGATCTATACACACAATGCCCGCTCTCCCTCCAGGAGACTCTGGTTACACGGTGATACCACTGTGAAGTGTCGTATCGAGAAGTAGTATGTCACATTCTAATTATAGTATATTCTTTTGTATATTGTATAGTGTATTTTTTGGTATAATGTATAGAGTGTTCTCTTGTATAGCATATAGTGTATTGACTCATAACTGCACTGACTCTGGTAGGTGTCATTGTAATAGTAGTAATGAGTAGTAATCCTTAACTATACCTATTATAGTTAAATAGTAATGGTCGTTTGCATGCCTTTGATACACAAAGGTACTGAACTGAAGTGAAAGCTTTTATATCCAACACATATATATATATATATATATATGATATATAACTAATAAGTCAACGACATTCGGACAAATAACAGGATACCCTAAGTCCACAACCAAACAAGGAACAAGAAAATAAGGTGAGCTATCAGTCCTAAGTCCTTCAAGTCTTACTTATATAAATATATGGGTGTAGATATGAGTTTGAAAATAATGAAAGTTTAAAAGAGTTTAAAAGCAAATTTAACATTTAAGGAGTTTAATAAAAGGTTTGTAACACTTGAAAATCCATAGGTTTGACAACAATTTGAAAGCAGTAGTAAATCTTTCTGTTTGTTCTAGTTATTAATCACATGTGATTAAAGCAATAACTAGAAATGTTCAACTTGTATTCCCCCCATAAAAGCATTTAAAATCATTTTAAAGGTTAATTAAGGGGTATGAACTCACCTGCAGTGAGTGGTTTGGATGGAAGTGCCGGATAGGATGCTAAGTGTCAAGTGAGGACTTGAACACACACACAGATCCTATGTAACATGTAGTGATATATAAATGTATCTAATTAGTCATTTAACCACTAATTAATCAAGTAAAGACATCCTAATACATGGAAACACTTTGTTTCAAGTGCTAGAAGTACTCAAGGGTTGCATCTAAAGAGAGTATGGCCTCACATTGGAGTTTACTTCTCATTTGGTAACCCTCTATGTGTTTACGGTTTTTGGTCATTTCCCCCATGAGTTTACGGCCGTAAACTCATGGTAAATTGTACCATTGTGTGATTTAAGGTCTTATACCCCTCAAGGAAGTGTTCTAGGCTTGTATTCAAGCCTTAGGAAGGGATTAGGGCTCAAAATGGCTCATCTTTGGAGTTTACGACCCTTGGACCACTCCCTTGGAGTTTACGGTCATAAACCCATGAGTTTACGGCCATAACTCATGGTCACTCCCACCATTTCGTGATTTGGGGTCTTTAGCTCATGCATGCAAGGTTCTAGTCCAATATCCAAGCCCTAGAAGGTGTTAGGGGCAGTTAAACACCACTTGATGGTGTTTACGGTTCAAGGAGATCCCTTGACCGTAAACCCATGTGTTCTTGAGGGTTTTGGATGTTTTCCAATGGTTTAGCAAGTATACTAAACAAACAACTAGATAGGAGGAGTGTACTTACTTATAGGAAGCTTGTAAGAGTGTTTAAGGCCCAAGAACACTAGTGTGTGTTCTTGGTGTTTTGAAGAACACTTGAAGATCTAAGTAAAAATTAAGAATTTATGGATGAAATGATGTATAACAACTAGATGAAAGGTTATAACAACAAATCAAGTGAAGAAAAACTTACATTTTTGGAAGATTGGAAGAAATGGATTATGATACTTGAGAGAAAACTTGGAAGTTCTTGAGTTAGAAGTTGGAAAATGAAAGAATGAAGAGTAAACTCATGCTATATGCATGAGTTCATGGTCAAAGGGAGTTTACGGCCCAAACTCCTCATGTTTGGCCGTAAACACCTAATTAAGGTGTTATTTTGTTTATTTGTTACACAACACTCCTAAAAGATACTTCCTTTTATTCGTTCGATTCATGAATTTATTTTAAAAACACCCAAACGGACTTTAAACCGGCCAAAAATGTACTGAAATGAATTTGACTAATATTTGCAGTGCTTGACTGTAGAGTTTATACCAATGAAAATTTCGGGTTGTCACATCATCCCCCCGTTAGAGGGAATTTCATCCCGAAATTAGAGTTCAAGCAACTAAGTTATTACAATATAACTAAGTAAAAAGATGAGGATATTTAAGTTTCATTTGATCCTCGCGCTCCCAAGTGAACTCCGGTCCTCGCTTGGCGTTCCAGCGAACCTTCACGATGGGGATGCGGCTTTGTTTCGTTCGTTTGACCTCACGGTCCATGATCTCTACAGGTTCTTCCACGAAGTTGAGGCTCTCGTTGATTTTCGATCTCGTCGAGTGGGATTACAAGAGTCTCATCGGATAGGCACTTTTTCAAGTTCGAGACGTGGAAGGTAGGATGTACGTTACTAAGCTCGTGGGGTAGATTGAGTTTGTAAGCTACGGGGCCGATTCTAGCGAGAATCTCGAAGGGCCCTATGTACCTTGGATTTAGCTTTCCACGCTTTCCGAAGCGTATCAAGCCCTTCCAGGGCGAGACTTTCAAAAGGACTCGG